CACCAAGCAACGCATAAAAATTTGTATGAAAGCGTCTACCGTACACTATCATTTTAATATCTAATTATAAATTAATTAAATAGCTATCCTGTAAACGACTCACAGTATCATCTCAATTGATTGTACAGTATATTTAAAGTAAAGAAGTATAGCTTTGCATGGTTCAACTCCGATGGCTGATACAACCATTTTTAGCTTTAAGCCATGCAACAATGATGCAACGTACTTGCTCCCTTTCCTAGTGGTAAACTGATTGCTCGTCAAGTAATAGTACTTGTATTTCAGAGTATTCTCCCGACTGCACGCTATACGGGATATCTACTGTACTGTGTATGTCGATACTTTTTAGAACTGCGTCAGTAGACGCTACAGTATTCTGTGCTTCAGTCTTGTCTCCTTTCACGCTAACCAACTTGATATTAAGTTAGTCATGTTGATGTCGCATCTATCAATATCTATCAAGTTATGTAGTGTAATGATCAAAAAGAAACATCATTTCCTATCTATTTCAACAGTAAATCATTCTATAAAGGCGTGTAACGTGCTGATCTTTACAGTACATCGGTGGATTGCTGATTAGGCAATTCTAATAATGTACATTACAGTACAGTAGAGTACTCGTATCGTTCGAGGTGAATAATCCATGGCAGCCTTATTGAAAACAAGACAAAATGCAATTGGCTCCAGTTGGTTTGGTCTTTCCCTTGACACAGTTGTGTATTTATAATATCTACTTGATTTACTTGAGCTTACCTTGTATCGTTTTGGCAAATTGTTCATTCAATAAACCAGCCAGAGTATCAATAAGATCTTTCTATAACTATTTTATCAGTCATGAAATGATAAGCTTGGATCCCTAGTCCAGTTGCAAACTTATAAAATGCATCCACTTCTTTAAACAAGGTTGCGCTGAGATTGGAGTCGATCCTGTTTCTTGGCCAAATCGCCAGTGAATGAGAAAAATGCAGTAAATAGTGTAACAGTAGAGTACCCAAGCTACAGAAAGACTCAAGACTGTACAGTGTACTGTACAGTACAGTAGAGTAGAGGAGAGTAGAGTGCAGAGTACTGTACACAAGTCCCTAGCAAGCATTACAGTACAGTACAGTATACTGTACTGTGCTACAGTACTGAGTACTGTAGAGCTCAGCATGGGCCATCAACTCGTTCATGTCCATGATGTAGCGATGAGTTAATGACGTCAGTATACCACGTGATCTGAATGGCAGAGTGCTTTGCTAGTGGCATAGTACTTGTGCTTGACTGTAGTGGAGACTGTAGGACCAGTAGACTGCTATCGGCTGAACTCGCTTGTGGTGTAGTCGACTAGTGGTGCACTTTGGCACGTTTGTACTTTGTGTCACCGTGGTGGCGGAAAACTGCAGTACTGTACTCATTTTTCTTTTCAGCGGGTAATCCAATCTCTACAGTACGGTACAATTTCAACGTTGAGTGGAGTCGCTACTGTACTGTAGTACAGTACTGTAGTAGTGTACAGTAGCCACTTTGTTCAAGCTAACTTTTACTGTAGCTGTGTTGGATAATACTGTACTGTGTTCCAAAGTTACAGTATAGTCGATAACACGCATCGCTGTCATCGCAGATCTTGCAAATTACGTACATAATTATCAGGTGATAGGAAGCGACTCCAAGAGTCAGTCAGCGAAAGTGAGTAATGGCAGCACCTGGTAACAGTAGTAATGGACCGACAACATCCGTCGATAGCAATGGAAATGATTCATTACAAATAACAAGCGCCGTAAAAGATAAGGACGCAATCAAATTGTTTGTCGGTCAACTGCCACGCGACTGTACGGAAGAAGATCTCCATTCATTATTTGATCAATTTGGTCCGATCTACGAGTTAGCTGTTATCAAAGATCGAACTACCAAACAACATAAAGGTAGGTTAAACAAGTAGATGCATAAGCGATTCAACATGCATTGGCCACTTGCTCATGAGTTTACGAGCTGATAATATCAATTTCACTTCATCCCTAGTCTTTTTACTATAGTATAGTGCATGACGAAAGTCGAGATTAGAGACACCCAAGTGACCCAATAACTTTGTAAAACGATAGTATACAGTAGACTGTAGTCAAGTAAAAAAATGATGGAAACTGGTGCTGCTGTTATAGCATTTAAAATACTTCATATCGACACATCTGTGCGTATATCATTGGCATTTTAATGATAGATGTATTGTTGGTCAGCAACGATCATTCCACAGTAGAGAACAGTATCGCGGATCAATTGCATTACACGGACCCAGCCCGCAGTATCGCCTGTAAAGAAGTGATTTTGCATCTTGATATGGAGGAAAGAATGATATTGTAGACCCAACCATGGACAGTTCTAATGGATGACTTGATGTTCCGTACAGTATACTGTCTGCAACAATAGGCACAAGCTGTACAGCAGTGTTGGCTTTATCTTCAAAGACTGTCATGTCCTTTGGTTTTGCGATTCGTTCTGTATCATTGATGGTGCGGCAGACAGTATAGCATACGAGATATTGTGCTTGAAGACTCTGTAAGGGTTGTGAACAACTTTTAGACGTCATCTGAATAATTGTAAAGTCTGAGCATTTACAACACTCGATCCACTGTTTGTTTCATGCCAGTGATCACCATTTGCACAGAGAGTACAGTAACTCACAAGCATGGAAAATAGATAGACACCAAGCAGACCCTACACGTAGATTAGTGAGGGTCAAACTCCTCACTTTCAATTCATTTTTTGGACAAGAATTTTTTGATGAATCATTTTTTAGAAATGCCCCTTCTAATCAATGTGTTAATGCCACTGCACAGTGCAGTGTGCACGATTCCCAGTCAGTCTTAGTACAGTATGAATGCTGAATTGGTGGCATTGTCATAATGTAACGAGTCCAAACTGCTGCACTGCCAGTGCTGCAATTCACTCTGGACATAGAGTATAGTAGACTGTACGCAGTCGTAGGCACTTGTGCCGGCTGCTGTACACTAGGGAAGAATAGTGTCAGCACTTTGCAGTTCCAGACTGAGTTTTAACAGTAACATGTGACAATTGAGACAAATATTTGTCTGAGCCAACTACGGTATGCTTTCTTGGCTCGATCTTGACGACACTGTGTCGCCATCGTAAAAGTACTGTTTGGTCATGTACGATGAGTACTGTAGGTTCGGTGAACTTGAAGACGACGATGTCTAGTTTGACTAATCTCACTGCCACTCGAACAGCTAAATAATCAACTAAGTTTTGTACTGTAATATTGTCCTGTACTATACAGTACAGTAGAGAGCATTGCAGAATCGCCAAGTTTTTGTTGTCGAGGTCTCCTGTCTGCAATCATCCGTGGTTGGAATAACTTGCAATCGGATACTGATTCCAGATCTCGTCAGAACACCGTTTTCATTCTCCAATCATTTGCCTTGATAATAACGACAAAAGGGAAATTATTTGCTGTTGAAAATTAAAAATTTATTGAGGATCTGATTCTGTAGAAAAAGAATCTCTTGCATGGTCCCATCGTCGCATGGACCCCCAGAACAAATAGAAAATCTACAGTCCATTGTAGTACTGTAGTCAACACTTTGAAAGAGCTTTTTCACTCAACGCTACAGTACAGTAGCAGCTTTACAGTACTATACTGGACTGCAAGGACTGTGGCTCACCAGCGTGTTGCTGCAGCCAATCAAAGAAGTCCAATGTGCATTGTAAAAACGAAACAAAGTATCAAAGTGTGTTCTGCATCAGATTGCACCTAGTCAAATCTCCTTGACGATATTTCTCCATCACAATCGGCTACCATAGATCTGCAAGCACTAAATGCCGGATACTGCATATTGTAGTAGACGTTATCCAGCCTTGACAAGAATCATACAATTCATGATTAGCCATGGTCAAGTTTGACTTGTTTCACCTTCTTGAGCGACTACGCGTGACTACCTATACTGTGCCCGATACGAAGGTGACCACTGTTGTGCACGTATTGTAATTCTAATCCACAGTCAGGCAGTACTGTACCGTTTGGTCCAATGATCACACCTAGGAACAGCGCAACGGACTCAGTATTGGAAAATACATGCGCCTACAAAGAAGCCAATGGCTATTACAATTATATTATACAGTATATATATAGAGATAGATATTTAATTATTGATCAAATACTTGAGTATAGGGTCATTAATTTTCTCTTAACTTAATTGAGTAATGATTAAATCAATCTCCTAGTCTTCTCGCTATTACAATGACAGGCCATTAATATAGATCGTGTCAGGATGGATTCTGGAGCACGGATTAACTTTAGTCAGATAAATTCTACAATCTGCCTTATTGTACAACATCATCAGCTATAACTGCATTTAAATGCATTTTTGAATTAATGACAAGAACTCCCTGGTTCCCTGCGTTATTCTCCTAACTTCACTGATGAGCGCATGCCCTATTATTACAATCAATCGAATACGGAGAGCAATTGGAGCCTAGGAAAAAATGAGTAAGCTAGGCAAGAAAATCATTAATTATCACTGTACTCTACTCCATGGATGAAAATAAAGTCATAGAAAGCTCCGAAAGAAACATACCACTTTATCTTATAAAAAATAATAAAATCAGGATAGGTATCAATAAACCGATTTATCTGTAGAACGAAATACTGCAATTATTTCTTATTCATGAGCACTACAGCTTCAAAATTGAATTTGACAGGTTGTCATGACGCAGCATGATAAAATGCAGTTTGTACTACTATGGATTGTGCTGTAGCCTGTATAGACGGTGTAATTGAATCCATACTACAGTAGACTACAACTACAATATCGAAAAGAAATCTTCAATTTTGGGGGGTTACGCATTATACAATATGCTGTACCATAGGCTACTAAAATGACATTGATATATTGCTAGCAGTCTTTGACTGCATAATGTAAGTAGCATGCTTAGTGCTTTTCATTTCATCGATTCAACAAGGCATTCTTGTTTGTTGAGAATTGAATTTAACGGTTTTATGTACCTTATATTTAGCAATCTACAACGGAGCAACTGATACTAAGTTCGTATCACTGTCTTTGTAAAGTCAATAATTAAGAGACTTTATGAAAAGAGAAAATATTACATCGTGTTGTAATCTGGCCAGTTTAGTGTCGTAAAGTCTATTTCAAATCATTAACTTAGATAACTGTTACACAACGACAATTTCCAATTAAAAATGTTGCAAATTATATGACAGTGAGTGCCTAGATTGTCTTATTTCCGTTTAGGCTTTCTTTAAAGATCAGTCACATAATTGTTGCAACGATTCCTATACTGTAGCATACTATATGGATGCTGCACATAACACTATGACAATTTTAGGATTGCAATAGGCACAGTTCTTTATACTATTCGTGGCATCGTCTGCTGTTGGTATGGGTACATCATCTCTTCCCTCTTAGATGTATAGGTTAAGTTAGCAATTATGGAAATTCACGTTGCCAACATTGACATTACTTTGGGCTAAAACTGATATTTTCATACATTAACGTACAAGTACAGACCAATATTGTTATAGTAGTTATTGATGTAAAAGTCATTCAGTTAATGATACTAATGAAGAGGATTAATTTATTTTTGTTTTATATTTTTCGATGACTGTACTCTGCATAAAAGTAATCTTTCCATTCTTCTATGCTTTTATTTTATGTTTTAGGATGTGCTTTTGTAACATATTGTAAGAAATCTAGTGCCGAAGCTGCTCAGTCAGCTTTCCATGAAAAGAAAGTTTTATCAGGAGTAAGTTGTTTTCGTCAAACTGCAAGTTAAAATTTGTTTACAGATCTAAACTGTCGATAATCTTCCA